TTCAGTCATTAGAGGAGTGAGTCACCTGGTTGTGTCTTGTCCTTTGTTGGTTCAAGCCCTGGAGAGAAACCCTGACTGAGCGAGGGAGAGAAGCTAGCCTTGCTCTCTTCATCCTGCCCAGGGACCTCTGGGCACCTGAGCCAAAGTGCACAGTCTATCCTCTGCTGTGTGGATGGAAGGACTGTTGCATCCCCAGAAATGTGGCCCCATTCTGGGCAGTTGACTGAGATGGTCCTCCTCAACATGGCCTCAGGAATGAAGGGCATCTGGGCTAAGTTTTGACTCTGAAACTAACAAAAGTGGTAAATTGCCTCCTTTTGGTTCAGGGCACCCTCTAGTTGGGACAACCGAGGCCTACAATTTGATCAGGGTTTGTTCAGGCTGGAAAAGAAGGCAGGAGGGAGAAAAACTGGAAAGCTCTCTTGGGATGTCAGTGAACGCTGGGTCTGCCCATGGGTTCTGGGCCCAGGTAACCAAGCTCTGCACTGTGACCTTGGCGCGCCCTTTCACAGGATGCTGCTGCTGTCAGCTCACCCAGGTAATCCAGGCTGAGAGGAAACCCCAGTGCAGACTTGGAGGTCACCACCTGTAACCGCTAAGCTTTCACTCTTGCCTCCTGCCTTTGTTCTTTTTGGCTCAAGCTTGATAAAAGCATGCTGAAGTCAGTGGTGGTAAGAATACCAGCATTTAATGAAAACTGTGTGGAGGTCAGAGTGCTAAAGATGTGTTATCACATTTAGCCTTCTGAATAGCCCTACACTCATGTTCCAACATTATCTCCAATTGACAGATAAAGAAACTGGGGCATATAGAGATTAGATTGCTTGGCCAGGGTCGAAAGGCTTATATGGTGGCACTGAGCCTACACCCGCAGAGCCTGCACCCTTAAGGACCTGTCCCTTGCCTTTCCTTGTGTGCCACTTGCTGTGTGGTCGGCCAGGGCTTCAGAGGTGGCCCCAGTCTGGAGCAGTTTAGAATTCTATGCCTTTTTGCATCCACTCTACAGCAGGCAGCACTGGAGGTGAGAGGGTAGGAAGCTGTGTGTGGCAGCTGGTTCCCGCAACAGTCAAGTGTCCAGGCTGTGGGATCAGCAGGGAGCAACATAACTCATTCCTGCCTTTGTGGAGCTGACACTGAGCAGAGGAGGTAAACATGACACAGGTGATTATTTAAGCACAGTTGTAGGTGCACTGAAAGAGGAGGGCACACGGCAGTGAGGGGGTGTTTAACAGGGGATCTGTTCTAGTTTTGCAGAGTTGGAGGTAGAAGAGGCATTAGCTAGGTCAAGAGAGGGGCTGGGGAGAGAGTCCCAGGCCAGGCGGGCTGGGGCCAAGGATGGAGGGTGAGCCTGGGCAGCGTGAATCCAGGAAGTCAAGGAGGAGCTGACCCGGCCCATGTGGGCTGCTCTTCGCACCATATTCTATTTCAGGAAGGTCTGATAAATCATTCCTGGCCAACTCTTGGTTCCTATTGGGCTGTGACCTAGGGCCACGTTGGTCTCCTAAACTGCCCAGCCCAGATGTATCCCCCATTCACCTACCTTTCATTTCCTGGGTTCACATGTCCCTAACATGTTCAGTATTGTGGCTCAGCCTCCTCTTGGAACTGGAGACCAGGGACTGCAAAGCCTCATGACCTTTACATTGCTTGGCTCAGAGAAGTGACATGTTGAACATTTCATCCTATTAATTCACAAGGTACTTTCCATTTTCTGTTTGTGCACAACACTGGGATTATAGCTTCTGGGCTTTTGGTTCTACGGAAGAGTGTTTGGCACATAGCAGATAGTCAGAAGTTAGGTGAATGAAGTAGGGGGTGGGGGAGGTAACACTTAAGCGCCTACTGTGTGCCAGGCATTGTGTTCTACTCATGGCATTCTCTGACCCCCTACTCCTACAGCAGCCCTGTGAAGTGTTGACTGTGATCATTGCCATTTGGTAGATGAGAAGAAACAAGCCTCAGAGAGAGAGGGTGGGCGTATTGTTTCAAGTGATACTTCTAGTAGAGCTGCTGGTTCCAGAACCTGTACTTGCCACACTGCCGCTCAGTGGGTAACAGATGAGAGGGTAGGGAGCAGAGCCTGTAGCAGTTTGTTCCCCAGATGGCCAAGTTGTGGTACAGAGTATGGTGGGCCAGTTGTCCCCAGGCATGTGACTGTCTCTGACTCAATGGTCAGCTGCATTGTGACCAATGGATGACCTTACCCAGGGGAGCAAAAGTGTGGAATGGATTCTGCTCAGGCTTGTCCTCCCAGGCCCCCACCCCTACCACCCCGATAAACTGGTACAGCCAGGAGAGAAGGTCGACACAGTGCACGTAGTAGGTGCACAGATGGTTGTGTGGATTGAACCCTCCTGATGAGAGTAGAGAGAGATGAAAGATTACCACCCCCTTACCTCTGGGGAACTTATTCATAAAGGCACTGTGTCCAAGATGCTTCTGAAGATGGCCTAAAAATAACTGGTTTCCACCCCCGTAAATGCACCCATTCCAGAATTTTGCTTAACAAGACCTGGAGAACTGATGTGCTGAAATGATGTGAAAACATTCCACCCTAGAATTTGCAGTAGCTCAAGTTAACTTTCTAGCTATTAAAAAAAAAAAAAAAAAAGCCTCTGCCCTCACTTCTGAGCAATGCTGGGTAATTTTAAGTACTTCCAGAAGGTGGATGTGGTTTGAGGGTCAGTGTTGTCCAGGGCCTGGACCAGTTTCGTGGGGGTTGTGATTGGTTGTGATTTGGGGAGCTGAAACCCACGGCCGGATTCCAACCCGCTGTCAATCTAAGCAGATTCCAGGAGGCGGGGAGGGCGTTGCGGCGTTGGCTTATTGTGTTCCTGAGAGAGGCTCCCTGTCACCCTCAGCCAGGGAGGTTTCTGGCTGACCCCCTCCACGTTTACACTCCGCATAAACACTGCAGAGCACGCTCGGGCCGGAAATTCTGTGACCTTGCTGATGCTCAGACGTCGGCACCGTGATGCTGTGTAGCAGTTCGTTTTCAAGGCATTGGGATCTCCTATTTCAGGTGGGGGTGGGGGAGGCCTTTTGGGCAATTTGCCTTCTTTTTATTGTTCCAAGAGTTCGGTGAAGCATTTGAACCTTCACCTGTCAAAATCCCTTTTGGAATGAGGATTGCCGTCCCTCCAGCTTCCTAGACTAGCAGAAAGAAAGCATCATTTATCTCTGTGAGACCTTAATGGGGGCTTCCCCATTTGGACACCCACCTTGAATTCATTGGAAACAGAAGTTCTGGGCATTGTATTTTCATATATTTGGCTCAGACTTTTACTGGGTCATATTTCCCCCCAAATCTTTTTGAAAAATATTCATGTCTCATTCCTTTAGACCAGCATGTGTAAGCTGGGTAAAGATAGAGCAAATTGGTTTCAAGTTTTGATTTATGAAAGAAATCTGCAAGTTTGCATTTGTAAAGCATTTAATGCACAGCTCAGGGAAGTTTGAACTTTGCAGACTGATGCCTGTGGCTGGATGAGACTGACCTGTTGATCCTGCCTGGTTCAAGACCAGACCCCACCTGCACACCGCCCTTACCTTATTGATAAGCATACACTCCTCCCACCTTTCCCTCCTCACTGCTCTTCTCCCTTTAGCTTGAATGAGGAAAACTGGCATGGAAAATTGTGTGACCTGGGATTTCTTAGGATCAGTTGGTAGCACTTCAATGACAACCTTATAATAGGACATCTAATCCAAAAAACTCAGTCAGTCATGGTCAGGGGCTGCTTGCTGGAGAAATGTATGGTCTGACAGGATGAATTTCTTGGATTTTCATGTTCTGGGTAATGTCCTGTGTTTCATGCAGATTATTGCTGCTTTATTGACCACAGGCCCTCAGAAGCAGAGCTGGCTTCATGGTCACACGATGTGTGCAGCTGTGCAGGGCGGCCCGCTCAGAAGGGTTCTGTGTTTGTTTTAATGCTCTGCTGTTGCTGTCTTGAAATTCTTAATACTTTCTGGACAAGGAGTCCTGCATTTTTATTGGTCACTGGGCCTGTGAGTTAATTTATAGGCATTATTTACAATGCCTGTAAATAATGCTTAAAAGCTATTATTTATACAATTCATTACATAGAAAATCATGGGGCGCCATGATTTTGAATGAGGGTTGCTTGAATTTAGTTGGTCTTACCAGCCAGTTCATGATAATCTTGACTCACCCAGTTTTACACAATCAAGTTTTATTACGATAGAATCTGAAATTACCTTTGGTTTCTATGGTTTTTGGGTGTGGTCTCTTAAGAGTCTTTTCTTGTGAGAGGACATAACAATAAACAGGTGAATTAAAAAAAAAAAAGGCCCCCACCCTTTCAGTTTTGAGTGGCATGCCTTCTTATCAGCATGTGAGTATATTTTCATGTGGCTGTGGTTGGGTTTCATTTTAAGTGCAGTTTGGCGTGTGTTTAACCAATGTTCAGGTGGCTTGCGGTGGGTGGGTGGATGGGGCAGGGAGGGGACATACAGGATGAAGAAGGCTCAGTTTCTCCCCAGCAGGTGCTCACAGGCCTGGAGTGGGCCATGGTAGGCTCAGGAGTGAATGGTCCTTGTCTCTTCAGAGGACCCTGGCACAGTCACATATGCTGGTGGGAGTGAAGGGCCACCAACCGTCAGATCTGGCCATTGAATGATGGGCCAGGGTTCATCCTGCAGGATAGGTGAAGGGTCTTCCCCTGAAGGGGATACAGAACAATTTAAAATTTTAAAAACTTTTATTATGGAAAATTTCAAACATACACAAAAGTAGAGACGGTGGTATAATGCATGCCCGTGTACCAGTGCCACCAGTTTACAACATTTTGGAATCTTAGTTCGCCGATTCTCATCCTCAGGTATTTTGAAGCAAACGTTAGCATTGCACCCTTTCACTCTGCAACAGTTCACTGTGGCTCTCTAACAGGTGATGGCTTGGTTGACTTTTTTACAAAGGGCATGATTCACACTTGTGCAACCCAGGGGAATGACCAAGGCCGTGCCTCTGTCCGCAGATAGCAAAGCCATCGTGGATGGGAACCTGAAGCTCATCTTGGGCCTGGTGTGGACGCTGATTCTCCACTACTCCATCTCCATGCCCGTGTGGGAGGATGAGGGAGACGATGACGCCAAGAAGCAGACGCCCAAGCAGAGGCTGCTGGGATGGATTCAGAACAAGATCCCCTATCTGCCCATCACCAACTTTAACCAGAACTGGCAAGACGGCAAAGCCCTGGGTGCCCTGGTAGACAGCTGTGCCCCAGGTAAGTGCCCATGGCTGGGAGTATGTGGGCCCTAAACCTCTCAGTTTTCATTGGGAAAGCTAGGCTTGCTGTGATTGGTGTATTTCTCTTGGTTTTACCCATTGTAAGAGCTAAAAATGGCTCCATTTACCTTTCCAATAGCAGTTCTCATACGTGTATGTATCCATTAACGTGTTTGAACATTGAATTCGGTTGTTTATCCAAATTCCCACTCACGACCTTAATGCTCGCCGCAGGCCTTGGGTTTAGCTTCTAGACTACAAAATCCTGCTCCTTCCCATAGTTGGTGCCTAGTTTCCCGTAGCCTTTGGCAAAAACATGTGGCCCTGTTAGGTGGCTTGGCATGAAAATCTAAAAACTTTCATTGAGTGGAAAGTACCCATTTTTATCGACCACTGGCTTGACCATATATGGCTCTCTCTGTCCTTTCCTTTCTGTGTTGCTGTGAAACAGGGCTTGGTCAGGATCCAGTTGGAGCCTCTTCTACCCTTTTCTGAGTGTTGAGTGTGCCCCAAGACAGTAATTATCCTTATGGAGGGATTAGATTGATGGGTAGAGTTTGTTGGTACACACTCAATAGAAAAACCAGAGCCTGCGTTTATATGTATCTCTCAAAATTGTTTTTAATAAAAAACTCTAATAATCATATTTTCCATTTGCCGAGTGCTGGGTATGTGCTGCACACATTAACATTTAATAAGCCAGTGGTTCTCAACTGCTCTAAGCAGAACTGTCTGGTGTCAGTAGGGCAGGGAGGAGGGCTGACTCAAGGCCCCATTCTTCTGTTAGAGCCTGGAAGCTGGAGTCATCAGAAGTAACTCAGACCTCAGCAGTAGTTCATTCCTGATACGCTCTTCCTTTTTTGCGTCCAGAGACACATTTTAAGACATCTCTTTCCAGTTTAAATGTGGGGATTTTTACTCCAGGCCTATACTTCTTGTGCTTACAAAGGTTTTAAAGATAATTCTAAGTTTGCCCTTTGAGCAAGTAGATTTTTAAAATTATACAGGATGCTAGTTCAGTCTTTTTTGATAAATCCAAGAATGGGGTTGTGATATTGTGACTTAAGAAATATATATTTGCTCTTTCTCCCTTTCCTGGCCTTGAGCTCGTAAAAAGCTTGGAATGTCCTGAGTGATAAGAGCGGTGATAATGGTGTCTTTCAGCCACACCTGAGTTTATGTTAGTGAGGTGACTTTTGGAAAGCTCCAAAGGATAGGGGCTGGTTGTCTGGGAACCCACCCATTAGAGGTTTGGAACTTTCAACTCTTTCTTCTGACCTCCAGAGAAGGGAGAGGGACTGGAGGTTGAGCTAATCAATTTTGCTTACGTATCGAAGCTTCCACAAAATCCCTGAACTGTGGGGTTTAGGGAGTTTCCAAGTTAGTGAATATATGGAGGTCCCGAGAGGGCAGCACCCTTAGAGAGGGCATGGAAGCTCCTCACCCCTTCTAACTTGACCTACATATCTCTACCTGTTCCTGAGTTGTATCTCTTTATAATAAACTGGTAACCTAGTAAGTAAACTTTTCCTGAGTTCTGTGAGCCACTCCAGTAAATGATTAAACCTGAGGAGGGAGTTGTGGGTTTGTAGCTGGTCAGTCAGAAGCCCAGGTGACAACCTAGACTTGTGCCCGGTGTCTGCAGTGGAGAGAGGAGGTGCAGTCTTTTGGGACTGAGCTCTTAACTTTTGGGGCCTAATGCTCTCCCCAGGTAGATAATGTCAGAATTGAGTTACATTGTGGGACATCCAGCTGGTGTCAGTCCCACACATTGGGTGACCAGGAAATAAAAGTATGAGTGTTGTGGAAAGTTGAAAAATCTCTCCTGCAAAAAGGCACCAGGCACAAATGGTTTTACAGGCTTCGTTTATTTATTTATATCACACCATTAAGGAGTGGCTAACACCCATCTTAATGCAGGAAGATAACATCCCGAAGGAGACTTCTCAGCTGAGACAGAATAGTTCCACCTTTCCATACTCACATCTATAATACTTTCTGCCTGTAAAGTATATTCAGATGCTCCTTGACTTATAGGGCTATGTTCCAATAAACCCATTGTAAGTTGAAAATATTGTAATTAAAAAATGCATTTAATATACCTAGCCTACCAAACGTAGCTTAGTCTAGGTCACTTAGCCTACAGTTGGGCAAAGTCATCTCGTCGCTGCCGCCCAGCCATCACAGAGCATTGTGCTATATATATCACTCACTTGGGAAAAGATCAAAATTTAAAATTAGGAGTATGGTTTCTACTGATGACAGACTGCTTTCGCACCATTGTAAAGTCCAAATATCTCTTCAGTCAGCTAATACTAACAGCTTCTTTTGCGTTATGTTAACAGGTCTGTGCCCAGACTGGGAATCCTGGGATCCGCGGAAGCCTGTGGACAATGCACGAGAAGCCATGCAGCAGGCAGATGACTGGCTGGGCGTCCCACAGGTACTCATGCAAGCATGCCAGGGCCCACAGCGCTGGTTCCACCCTCCAGCTCGTTTTGGTACTGGGTGGGTGCCTCTTTAAATCTGGCAGGCAGTCTGACCTTGGCATTAGCCTTCAAAGAGTATTGCTTGTGGCATGCTCCCGCCTTCCTCAGTTTACCCATAATAGTAGGTTCTCATTGACTTAGATCCTTGTAGATCATCCAAAAATATATACTCTTTGTCACATGCGGCAAATTTTCTAGAATTTCTGCTGCAAAAATTCAGAGGTTATCTTTGGACACCAGACTGCAAATGAGGACCCTAATGATTAGGTAGGGCCATAGGAATCAATATTTAACCATTTTTTACCTATTTAAAAAATTTTTTAATTCACTATCTTAGGGAAAAAAAATCACAGAACTTAAGGTTTTTTTTTTAAAAAAAGTTTTAGCCAAGATAACCTACAATTAATGAAAGTTGTGGAAGAATTTGTATTGCCCAAAATCCTATCACAGAACTATAACAAGAGAACTTGGAAATTATAAGTCTTAGATACCATCTTCAGTAGTCACATTGAAGTCTGGTCTTCTAAGCCTTTCCAGGAAGTCTAAAAAAAACCCTCCCCCTGACCATTTAATACCATGACTCCCATGTTCAAAGCCCTCGACAAGAGAAGTTGTGGGTAGCCAGTGCCATGGGTGGACGACCTCACCACAGGCTCCATCGAGGTCCTAGTTGGTGTTCAGAGCTGAGTTCAGTGTATTTTGTAACAGGACACCTGGGGAGGTAGAAAAACTTGCCTATATTTCTTTGGTTTGGTTTTGGCGTTGTGTCTCAGCTTCATGGCCCGTTTCTTGGCTTTTCCATTGTCAGGAAGTGGTATGGTATGTTTTTCATCTCTTAAACCTGAAACCATCTCCTTTTAAAGTTCATGTGATGTTGGCACTGTAACATTGTTGAAGGAGCTGCCTAGAAGAAATGCCAAATCAACTCATGCCCTCCATATTATGGAACGTATGGTGCAAAGCCAAATAGCTATTTTGGTGCTGCAGGCTAATCATCAGAATGATTTCTTGTGTTTTTTCTTTTTTCTTTTTTATCACGGAATGAGGGAAGCGGGGTACGTATATTGTTCATCTGCATTTGGTTAACCTGGTTCATGAGACAGAGTCTTCTGTTCCTCTCAAGAGGTGTGGCTTACCAATCTTGTTAGGGCAGGAGGATTTTTGGTGCTGTTTAGGGCTGGGTCAGGTAGTAGAATTGAGGCTATGATGCCTGCAGTGAGGCTGCCTGTCTAGCATGGATTGTAAATAACTTTACTAATATTCTTGCTCCTAAGATGAATATCTGTAGAAATGTATCACCTCCCCATTTTTTTAATGGCTCCTAATGTAGAGACTTGTCTTAGCTCTGGCTGCCATTACCAAATACCATAGACTGGATGGGTTCAAACAACAGATAATCATCTCTCAGTTCTGGAAGCTGGAAGTTCAAGATCAAGGTGCCAGCAGATTTGGTTTTTGGTGAGGGGCCTTTTCCTGGCTTGAGAGAGAGAGAGAGAGAGAGAGAGAGAGATGAGGGTGGGTGGTGAGTGGTGGGGGGGTGCATGTGCACATCTGGTTTCTATAAGGACATGAATCCCGTCATGGAGGCTCCACCCTCAGGACCTCATTTAAACCTGCTTAGCTCCCAAAGGCCCCGCCTCCTCATGCCATCACATTAGAGGCTTCAACATGTGGATTTTGGGAGAACACAAAGACTCAGTCTATAAGACCACACATTAGCTATATCACTGTGTTGTCTCTTTCTTTTTATTTAAATTTTTTTATTAGTACCTGAGTTAACAGATGTGCATGATGGGTAGATTAGCCAAGGAAGAAGGCCGGTTTGTGCGCCTTTTTGGTAACATGCGCTAATCTCACATGCAGTTCTTTCTTCATCCCGCTCACTTGACGTAGCTTATCCCACCGGCAGGTTTGACCAGGGGAGTGAGTGGGTTATTTTGGGCGGCTGAGGGGAAGCATGTACCTCTGGAAATGACATAGAGAATTGTCTGGAGAGGGTCCTCAGATTCCAAAGGGAATGGTGACACCTCTAAAAGGTTAAAAAACACTGATCTTGGCATATCATCTTCATGTAACTTCACTTAATTGAGAAGCTTATTTCTTATTATTTGTAGTGCTTAAGAGATGTTTGCAAAAACTCCAATACATTGATGTGTCCTGGCATTCACTCACCATGTCCTTATTCTAGGTCATCACCCCAGAAGAAATTATTCACCCGGATGTGGATGAGCACTCGGTGATGACTTACCTGTCCCAGTTCCCCAAAGCCAAGCTCAAGCCAGGGGCTCCGCTTAAACCCAAACTCAACCCCAAGAAAGCCAGGGCTTATGGCAGAGGTAAGCACCTGTCGTGTTATACTTGAGGCTTGTCCTCTGGTCTTAGATATCATGATGTGGCTTCTCAGGAGGAAGGTTCTCAAAACCACGGATGTAGGCTACATCCTTGAAGATACTGCCTACAGGCCTCCTTTGTCAGTGTTTTGTTTCTTTTTCCCCCCCTAAAGGGCCATTTGTTTATGACCATCCTGTTCTGCCTTGTGAATCTAGGCTTTAAGAAACACTGCAGATTTAATGTGACGGAGACTGATGGGTTTGTTGCTCTGTGATTTTAGTGAACTAACCCTGGGATGAAGGAAGGACTGTTGTTCCCATTTTTCAGATGAGGAATCAGAGTCACGGTCCACCGGGAGTCGGAGGGTGGGAGACAGGAGTCTGGGTCTTTTGGCCGATGATTCATTTTTCCTTTGGTTGTGCTAAAGCTGCTCAGGTTTCCAGATGGGTGGGAGCTATTGATAACCCCTGGCAGACACTTCCTTGCTAAGACATCCTGTTTATGCAGCTGCCCCGAGTGTTCTGCTCAGAATGTTAAGTTGGGATGCAGGCATTTTGAGGGACTTGGTGTTCTGGGTGGCACCTGACTTTAAGCGCACTAGTTTTTTTGATTGTTTGTTTGTTTGTTTGTTTTCAATCACAGTTGACACTCAATATTATTCTTTATTAGTTTCAGATGTACAGCATAGTGGTTAGACAATCATGTGCTTTGTACAGTGCCCCTCTCCTCGATATTTCAAGTACCCACCTGGCCCCATACATAGTTATTAAGCACTCTAGTTTTTTTAAGGAGAACAGTTGTATTTCAGTCCAGTGTGATTTCTGGTAAAGAGCAACACAGCGAGCTACAACTTATTCCCTTTCCTATAGGAGAGCATTGTATTTCTTTATTTCTCTTTTTTTTTTTTAAATCCTCACCTGAGGATGTGTTTGTTTTTTTAATTGATTTTTTTAAAAAGAGAGAAGAGAGAGAAAGAGAGAAACATCAGTGTGAGAGAGAAACATCGATTGGTTGCCTCCTGCATGCACTCCAACCAGAGATCCAACCCTTGAACCTGCAATCTAAGTATGTGCCCTGACGGGGAATCGAACCTGCAACCTTTTGGTGTATGGGACGATGCGCCTGTGAACTTAACCACCTGGTCAGGGCTGCATTTTACTTCTTAATTTTTATAATAACAATTGGGAAAACATTTAGACACACAAAATAACTTGTAAATCCTCTCCTAGAACCTACAGTTCTTATCATTCTAATGTAGTTTTCTCTTGCCCTTTGTGCATTGCATGCATGGGTGTGTGTGATTGTTGGAATGATTTGAAAATGAATTTCAGACATGGTGACATTTCACTCCTGAATACATCAGCAAAGCCTTTCCTAAGAAGAGAACATCCTCTTATGTAAGCACAATATTCATCATCACACATAAGAAAATTAACAATAATTTCATATCAACTAATACTGAGTTTTGTTTTCAAGTTTACTGTCCTAAAATTCTTTTATAGTTTTTATTTTACAAATCAAGATCTGATTGTGATCCACTTACTGCATTTGTTTGTCTGTAGACTCTTTTAATCTAGAATAATTTTCTCCAACTTTTTAAAAAATGACTGAAATGTCCAGAACAGTTGGCTTGTGGGGTGTCCCACATACTCTTTCCCTTTGAAGACAGCATTGCTGTACTTGGCGTGGGCTTAGTCTAAAGCTGACCTACGACCAGGGTCGTGCTGATGACCGTGTGTTGTTCTCAACCTCCGTGACCAGGTCCTTCTCACCTGTCTTTTTAGATGATTTAGACCAGAAGACAGTTCAGTTGTTCTGGAACAAACCCACATACCATTTGAGGTCCCTTTGGAAGGAGGTGGGGTCTGTGCAGTCTTTTGTATTATGTGTTGTTTGAAGGCCTTCCCTATGTGCAGTCATTCCACGGTCAGCATGCCCATGCTTACTTAAAAGTGCTTCTGTAAGTCATGCCAAAGGCGGTGGCTGCAATAAAGAATCTCTGATTTTAAAGGTTCTGCTTCCTAAATGGCAAAAAATCTCAAGCAGCCAAATAAATCTCGTCAACAAAATTGGTCAAATGGGTTGAATCTAATAACCAAGACGTAAAACGCTTGTTTGCAATAACCTTATCGCTGGCTGTCCAGTTTCCCCTTTGTTAATGTGAAATGGTTTCCTTTTATTGCTATTTTCTAAAAAGTGACCACTTTTGCTATACTTCAGGAATGTGGCTAGTCATTGCTTTTTCCTTCATCTGCCTCTGAAAATGTTATGTACTTGGAAGCAAATCCCTTTTTTTAAAAAAAACAAACACTTAATCTTCACCCAAGGATATGTTTATTGATTTTAGAGAGAGAGAAACAGTGATGAGAGAAAAACAGTGATCCGTTGCCTCCCTTATGCACCCCAGCCAGAGACTGAACCTGCAACCTGGGCATATGTCCTGACCGGGAATCAAACCTGCAACCTTTTGGTGCACGGGACAATGCTCCAATCAACTGAGCTGTCCGGCCAGGGTGCTAACAGCTTTTAAAAAATGTGTGTATGTGTGTCTATTTTACCACAAGGCAAATGTGGTAAAATATATGTAATATTCACCATTTTTAAGTGTATCATTCATTGGCATTAAGTACATTCATGGTTGTGTACCCATCACTACTCTTCATCTCTAGAACTTTATCTTCCCAAACTGAAACTCTGCACCATTAAATAATAATTCTCCATTCCCCTCCCCTCAGTCCTGGCAACTAACAGTCTATTTTCTGCCTCTGTGAATTTGCCTGTTCTAGGTCCCTCATGTAAGTGGAATTCTATGGCATTTGCCCCTTTGTGCCTGGCTTATCATGCTTTCAGGGTTCATCCGTGTTGCCACATGTATCAGAATTTCATTGCATTTTAAGGCTGAATAATAATCGTATATACTACATTTCCTTTTTCTCATTGACTGTCAGTGGGCTTTGGGTTGTTTTCACCTTTCGGTGAACGAGATGCTGCGAGCTTGGGTGCGTAAGAATGTCCAGGTGCTACTTTCAATTGCGGGGATATGCCTAGAAGTGGAATTGCTAGGCATTGTGGTAATTCAGTGTTTAACTTTTTCTTTGTAAGTCGGAAGACAAAATGGTCATTTTAGGCAACAGGGTCACACATGAGGCCATACAGATGGGGCCTTAAGATATTGTCCCAGGGTGAGACAAAGGCAAGGGACAGTTTGCTGTCTTTCCTGTGTGGCCACATTGCTTCATATCTGCCAACTGAACCAAAAAATAGAGAACGTTTCCTCTTCTAGTTTCTGAAGGATTTTGAGGTTGACTTTCTCTTCTCTTCTGGATGTTGGCTAGATGGCAGTTTCCAGCTGGTTGCCCCTTGCTGGTTAGCCAGGGTCTTGGGTAAGCTGCAGAGCTGACTGTTTCTCTCGGGCTGTTGGGAGTCAGGTGGAGTGGGTATTTATGAATATATTAAGTGCATGTTTAAATCTAGTTGTTAAATGATGTGCTCACTCTGTAAGTTTGAAGCAAAAGAAAAATGTAGAAAATAAAAACCAAAAGCTTACTTCCCTACTGCCAATCCCATCCCTTCATTCTGAGATGTTCCTTTCCAGCCCATTCTTTTCTATTATATTTATAGTTGGAAATGAATTCTAACTATGCATTTTCTTCAATTTGCATTTCTTACCGAACGATGTGTGAACATCATCTTATTATATAATAACCTACCACCAATTTTTCTTAAAACTAAATTATTTATTGGAAAACTAATACAAATTCAGAGTGTAGTAACAAATGACCCAGTGTTTTTAACAGACTGATGACAAGGAAAAGAAGAGATGGAGAGAAACCTAGAGATTTCATGTGACTTAAGAGATTCAGTGACCAATTGTAATATATGAACCTTATGTGGATCCTAGTTCAACTGACTGTTAAAACAAATTCATGACACTTATAAGATAATTAGAAATTTGAACACTGTTTGATTATATTAAGGAATTATTATAAATTTTTGATGTGATTTTTTTTTGATGTGGATATTCTGAAATGTCTTTTAGAGGTACATAATGAATGTTTATGAGTGACATGAGGACTAGGATTTGTATCAAACAAAATAACAAAGGAAGAGGGAAGTGCTGGGAGTGCAGGTGGGAGTCAGTTGTTGAAGCTAGGTGCTGCTAGGTACACAGGTTCATTTTACAGTTCTCCGTCTGTATAGTTTGGAATTCCCCATAATAAAAAACTTAAAAAGAAATAATACTTGAATTTTTGCTTCTGGGAAGATGGAGTTGAAGTACTTTTTCCAATTCTTCCCACTGAGTACATCTAAAATCCCTGGGCATTTTATGCACAACAAACATAAGACTCTGAAAGAGAATACGGCAAACTAGCTGGGGAGCTGGGGGCCCAGGGACTGACACAGTAATGAGTTCCTTGGTTTTTCTTTTGCCTCATATATCCCGGACTTGGAACTGAAGAAGCTGACAAGCTGGAAATGCCAGTGGGCACAAACACAAAAAGTCCCAACAAAAGCCTGCTCTTTCTGGCCAGAAAGGCAGAGCACTGTTAGACAACAATTGCTCTACTGCGGCCCAACACTACAGCAGAAACTGTGGCCCCCACCCCCCCTCACACAGCAGAGGCCAAATGGGAAGCCTAGAATTTCACCACGGATAAGGAAGCCACCTCAGTGATGTCAGTAGAGGCCATTTGAGTAATAATGAGGCATTCCTACCCCTTCCAGCCACTGGTGGGCAAGGCCTAATAAAAGTAGAACTTCCATCTCTACCCACTAGTAATGAGGAGCCCCCCTCACTTTGAGCATCAGTGGAGGCTGAATGGGGAACCTGGACTTCTTTCCCCACTGGCGGTAACAAGGCGTGTACCCTCCCTCTGCTGAAGTGGTATTATAGAAAGGCAGCTGAAACAGAAAGTTGACCCAGAGTCTCATAACAATACTCAGGATATCCAGGTTTCAATAACACAAATCACTCGTCAGACCAAGAACCAGGAAGATCTGAAACTGAATGAAAAAAGACAGTCAGTTGATGCCAACACTGAGGTAATAGAGACGTCAGAAGTATTTGATAAAGGTTTTAAAGCAGCTGTTATAAAAACGGCTTCAACAAACAATCACAAATACACTTCAAACAACAGAAAACATTGAGAATCTGAGGAAGTAGAAGATATAAAGAAGAACCAAATGGAATTTTTAGAACTGAAAAATGCAATAACTGAAGTTACTCAGTGGATGAGCTCAATAGCAGAATGGAAAGACAGAAAATCAGTGAACTGGAAAACAGAACAGTAAAAGCAACCCCATCGGAATGATAGGGAAAGTAGACTGAAAAAAATGAACGCAGCCTCAGGGACCTGTGGGACCTTAACGAAACATCTAACATTCATGTTATAGGAGAGTAAAAAGAGGGCAGGGCTAAAAAAATGCTCAAAGAAACAGTGGCTGAAACTTCCTACATGTGGCAAGCTGAGCTAAACTCTTACAAGATAAACACCAAGGGAAAAAAGCCCACACCAAGCCACATCTTAGGCAAACTTCAAGAAACTAGACAGTAAAAGCTTGAAAGCAACGAGAGAAATGACACCTTACGCACTGGGGAAACAGAATGGCAGATTTCTCATCTAGAGGAAGTGGCACAACATTTTTCATGTGCTGAAAGAAAAGCTCAACCCAGAAGCCTAGGTTCAGGGATAATGTCCTATAGGAATGAAGAGAAAATCAAGGCATTCTCAGATAAAGGAAAACGAAAAGAATTTGTCACCAGCCCACCCACCCTAAAAGGGTGGCTAAAGGAAATTCTCTGAACAAAAAGGAAGCAATGAAAGAAGGAGTCTTGGAATAACAGGAAGAATGAACACGGTAAGCAAACATATGGATAATTATAATAGACTTCCCTCAAAAACCACAGGCTACCAAAACTCAACCAAATGAAGTAGATCACCTGAGTGGTCCTATAACCATTAGTGACATCAAATTTGTAATTTAAAAGCTCTTGGAAAAGAAGTCTCCAGGCTCAGATGATTTCACTGGAGGAAGAATTAACATCAGTTCTACTCAGTCTCTTCCAGAAAATACGAGGAAGGAACACCTCCCAATTCTTTTTATGAAGCTAGTATTGCTTTAACCAGACAAAGGCAATGCCAAAAAAGAAAACCACAGAGCAATATCACTCATGAGTAAAGATGTAAAAGTCCTTAACAAAATATAAGCAAGTAGAATTTTGCAATACATAAAAATAATTATTATGACCACGTGGAGTTTGTTCAAGGGGTGCAAGGCTGGCCTGCTAGTAGAAAATCAGTCAACATAATATGCTATATTAACAGGCTAAAGAAGAAAAATCACATGATCATGTCAATTGATACAGGAAAAGCATCTGACAAAACTCAAGACATCCATGATAAGAACACAGAAAAAGAGGAATAGAGAACTTCCTCAGTTTGATAAAGAGTAGCAACCACAAAACACCTACAGCCAACAGTATAATTAAAGGTGAAAGCCGGAGTGTGTTCCCTAAGATCGGGAAATAAGGCAGGGATGTCCACTCACCACTGCTATTCAGCATCGTGATGCAAGTTGTAGCTAATACGGTAAGGAAGAGAGGGAAAAAGATGACACACGTTGGAAAGTGAGACATTAAACTGCCCCTATTTGGAGATGACTTGGTAATCCATGAGAAAATACTTTAAAAAACAGTAACTAAAAACTCTCCGTAAATATGTTCACCAGTGTCTCAGGATATAAGATCAGCATACAAATGTCAATTAAGACCTAAATAAGGGCAGCTGTTGTCATTTTTTATTTGACAATCTAAGGGAAAAGATGTCAGTGCCCCTGGCCAAATAGTCAGGTATCGCATGTTTTAAAAATTCTTGCGCCACACAGGTTGAAAATCACTGCCATAGAGAAATGCATATTGAAGCCACTACAGACCTATAGGGATGGCTAAAGTAGGAAACAGTGATCACACCAAATGCTGGCAAAGGACGCAGAGACACTGGACCCGGATCGCTCATACGTTGCTGGTGGGAATGTAAAGTGGCACAGCCACTCTGGAACACAGTTTGGCAGTTTTTTCTAAAGAACTAAACAGGCACCTACCATATGACCCAACAGTTTCACTCCTTCACTTTTTATTCTGTGGAAATGAAAACATGTTCACACATAAACCTGTACCCGAATGTTTATAGCAGCTTTATCAGTAACAGACAAGTAGAAACAACCCCGATGCCCTTCGATGGGTAAATGGTTAAACCAGCTCTGGTGCATTCATATCATGGAATATTACTCAGTAATAAAAAGAACAAACAATTGATACAGGCAACAACCTGGATGAATCTACAGAGAATTAAGCTAGTAGAAGGAGACAATTTTAAAATGTTATATAGCATAGGATTCTATTTATTTAGCATTCTGGAAATGGTAAAATTAGAGATGGAGAACAGATCAGTGGCTTTTGGGGTAAGACGAGGGTGAGGTGGGAGAGGAGGGGATCTGGCTATAAAAGGGCAACCTAGGGGATCCCATGGGAATGAAAATGTTCTGTGTTTTGACTTTGTAGTGTTTTGTACTATGTAACCGTTAGAGGAACTGGATAAAGGGTATGATTTCTTAAACCTGCATGCGAATCCATCTCAAATTAATTGGCTCAATCTTCTCAGAATGAAAACGTTTAAATTAAAAAAATATAATTGAATGCAATTTTTAAACATTTCAAGTAGTACAAAATGGTCTTTCATGAAAAACGAGCCATTCTCCCCTACCTCAGCCCCCCTTCCCCCATGCCACCTCTCTCAGTGCCAGCTCCGCTGCTAGTTACACATCATTTTTCATAATTGTGTAGATTTCTGGCTGAATTGCTCTGAGTATTTCGCAATTAATTGTTCCTTAAATCACAAGGACAAAATTAGGGATTGGAACCCGTTGCAGTATTCTTGTCACGGCAATTTGTGCCCATCTCCCATGTGGTAGCTGCAGGGCTGGGTCCCATCTCTCAGTTTCCTGAAGGAGACACGGTGGGCGATGGCCTGGCCGCGCCTGTAATGTGTTTGTGTAAACCTGTGGCAGGAATCGAGCCCACTGGAAACATGGTGAAGCAGCCGGCCAAGTTCACTGTGGACACCATCAGTGCCGGGCAAGGAGACTTGATGGTGTTTGTCGAGGACCCAGAAGGGAACAAAGAGGAGGTATGTTGGGGGATGCTGCCTCCCCAGTAGGCATCCCATGGGGCTTGTCACAGGGCCAGGGACTGTGCCTCCATTTTCCTCATTAAAGCTCCCAACAAAAATTGTTTTTTACCAAAAGGATCCTGAGAATTACAGTGGTTCAAGTAACTTGTACAAGGGCTATGCCTTGAAAATTAATATAAATTGATACCCAATGTTTAATAAAATAAAGGATACTTTGAATTTAGCAAAGGTCTCGTTAGTTGAGGTTTTAGATACTAATGGCCAGAATAACAATAATAATATGGTACTGATACAATACAATATAGTAATGATACTGAGAGTCCTACTGTCTTCCCATCTTGACTATCCTTTGATTCTTCCCTCAGGGCCTTTGCACATACTGTTCCTTTTGTCTACTTATCTTCTAAAGACTATATACACACACACACACATATATATATATATATTTTTTTTTTTAAAATATATATTTTTTTATTGATTTCAGAAAGAGGAAGGGAGAGAGAGATAGAAACATCAATGATGATAGTCATTGATCAGCTGCCTCCTGCATGCCTCTGACTGGGGATCGAGCCCACAATCGGGGCATGTGCCCTGACCAGGAATCAAACCTCGATATCCGGGATCCTAGGTCGATGCTCAGTTGCTGAGCCATGCCGGCCGGGCTTAAGACTATATGTTATTCCTAGCACTCCGTACCATCTGAAATTCTAAGTTCACTGGTTTATTGTCCATTTTTCCCACTGAGGCAGGAATTCCGCCTGATTTGTTTCATTTTGGGTACCTAAACACCCAGCATTTCATAAATGCTTAATTACTATATGGCCAATAAAGGTTTAAGTTACTTGCTTTATAGTCTCCCTCATCTAGAGTTTCAGCCCTGAGACAGTGGAGCGTCCTTACTTGGTTATACCTTTGTGCTATGTGACTTGTTTCTGTGACTTCAGGCTCTTCCTCTCCTGGGGTGTCCTTCAGGACTGGTGGGGCAGGGAATAGCCAGGACAGGTTTCTGACCTGCCAGCTCGCTGCAGGACTTTGGCTGGCACCACATGCTTTTACTCACACCTGGTGCCTTCTCTATCACTCGTTTTTTATCCTAGGCACATGTGACCCCTGCTAATGACAAGAACAAGACATACTCTGTGGAGTATCTGCCCAAGGTCACCGGGCTGCACAAGGTAAGATGAGGTGTCATAGCCATTGCTTGGGCTGCTCTGGGCTTGCTTCAATATGTGTGGAAGGAAGGATATCTTAGGCAAAAGAGTGGTTTTCTTAAGTTAATATCTGATTTTCCTTCTTGATTATAAAAGTATGTGTGTTCATTATAGGAAATTTGGGATCCCTGTGAATCAGACTTGAGACATTAACTAATACATCTAGATTGGTTGAATTCCACTAGGTTTTTTGTAACGTCATAAGATTTTTCTAACTCTGTCTAGGTAGTGAATGGTTGTAGCTACATGCCTGCAGTATAGATGCTAAGCAATGGGCTTTGTAATGCTGCCTTAAGTAGTCCCCTTCCAGGTGTTCTGGAGCATCTGTCAGTGTGGAGAAGGCCAGTTAACCATAGTGAAGTCCAGTGGTCCACTCATGTACCTGGAGAACTGATGGGGATCCAGCCCCCTAGGTCCTTTGTCTCAGCAACATGTTGAGTTCTGTTTGAGGTGGTATCTAGTTGGCCTAAGTGATGGGGGCTAAGGGAGTTTTGCAGAGAGTGGAGTGATCTAGGAGTCTGCCTTTCATTGAAAGGAAGCCTTCACATACAGGCCAGTCCCTGCGTACCATGCCAAGACTTTGAGACATAGACCATACTCACCACCTTGGCTTTTGTGAGTTCACCCGGAACCATGACCATAGGTTTATACCCTTAGAACATCATTAGTTTTGGGGGGAAAATTCTTGGAGTGTAATTAATTTATTCAATTCATAGGAAACCTAACCCAATGCCCCTGAAAAATTTTAAAGATGAGAACTCTGGCTCAAGTTTTAGATGGAAATCTGCACTTTTTCTCAAATCCATGTGTCTGGGAATGTTCTTGGTCCCTTGAACAATACATTGACTTTAGGTTTGAAATCCTGGAACTGTGCATTATATTCTGGGGAACAGTGGCCCCTTCTGCAGTTGCTTAAAAGGTTCACTGTCTAGAGATTCAAGTATAAGTATTTGTTCATATCCCACATGAGAGGCTAAACATATCTGATATAAGCATTTTTAGTTTGCCGAAGGTCAGATATCCCAGGCCAGCCATGTGGCTGATGGAGTAGGTGGGAGTCCTACTCAGGCCACTAGTAGGGCTTCTGTTCCAGCCACCTTTGTGTGGATAATCAGGAGGATGGAAGAGAAGATCACAAGGCATGTGGCTTGATCTGGTAGTCTTGCTGGGCAGGGAGAAGTGAGTATATGTCATCTCTCTGTCACTTGCAGGTCACAGTACTCTTTGCAGGACAGCACATCTCCAAGAGCCCATTTGAAGTGAATGTCGATAAGGCCCAGGGAGATGCCAGTAAAGTTACTGCGAAAGGCCCGGGTTTGGAAGCTTCAGGGAACATCGCCAATAAACCCACCTACTTTGACATCTACACGGCTGGTAAGGTGCCTCTCCTCCACGGATCAGGCTTTCTTGTAAAATAACTCCCCCCGCCCCCATCCTTATAAATTTATTTTATTTTACTTTATTTTTTCAATTACAGTTTATATTCAGTATTTTTCTGTATTGGTTTCAGGTGTACAGCATAGTGATTAGATAATTATATACATTTTACAAAGTGGTCACCCCAATATTTCAAGTACCCACTTGGCCCCGTACATAGTTATTACAATATTATTGACTATATTCTCTATGCTGTAATTTACATCCCTGTGACTGTTCTGTAACTACCAATTTGTACTTAATGCCTTCACCTCTTTCAGCCAGGCCCCAACCCCCTCCCCTCTGGCAGCCATCAGTCTGTTCGATGTTTCAAATGTGTTGGTTATATTTTTAGATTTTTCAAAACCAGCTTTTCTTCTCTAAAATCTTACACTGGAACTTGACTTTGCTTATTAATAATCGGTCAGTTTCGGTATACATTTCTTATTTGACTAAGTAGATGTTCCAAAGAAACTAAGTTTTAAGAATCATCCACTGGACCAAATTCTACGCAAGGTCCTGTGTGGGTTGGATGGGGATGGAGGAATAAGATAATTCTTGAAATGCCAGCTTTCTTGTCCGTGTAGAAAATTTACAAAATAGAGAATCAGCGAAAAGGACCGTTTGGCCATGACCCTCCTTCCCCTGGCAGAAATAGCTGTTAATGTCTTGGTGTGGTCCATCTGAGTGCCTCTGTCTCTTTCACTTGCATTTTGCACCTGCTTTTACACTCATCAGCAGCCAGCTTTCTGAGAAGGTGACTTAGGCTCATGGAATGTTCGCTCTGTCATAGGTGCCGGCGTGGGTGACATTGGTGTTGAAGTGGAAGACCCCCAGGGGAAGAACAGCGTGGAGCTGCTCGTGGAAGACAAAGGAAACCAGGTGTATCGATGTGTGTACAAACCAATGCACCCTGGCCCTCACGTGGTCAAGGTCACTTTCGCTGGGGATGCCATTCCCAAGAGTCCCTTCGTTGTCCAGGTTGGGGAAGGTGAGTGCTGGGGTGGCTGACCATGTGTGCTGACTGTGCACACGGCTGGGCCCCAAGGCCAGGACAATGGTCGGGCCCAACATTGAGCTCACGCCTGTCCCCTTTCTATAGAAAGTGACTTATTTTGTCCTCAAATACTAATACTAATATGTTCCTAATCCTCAGTGCTTTACTTATATTAACTCATTGAACCCTCCCCAAAACACTTGTCCGGGAGAGTAATCCTCACTGAGAAGTGCAGGACTGAGGCCATTGAGGCACTGGTGTCTGGCTGAGGTTAGCAGCAGTGGCACTGCTGGTGCTCCCAGCCTCCACTGCTTGGTCTTTACTGGCTGCCAGGCACTTAGCACAACTGCATATAATCGTCACACCAGCCTGTGTGTTCCATGGGCTATTCGCATCCCCAGTTTGCAAGTGGAGACTCTCACGGAGGCTTAGATAACATAAGGTATCGGCACGTAAGGGCTAGGTGTCAGCAGGAATAGAGCCCAGGTCTCTCGACTCCTTAACCACACTGCTAAACTCCCTCTGCAGCCGGAAGCAGGAATTTTTCTGTTAGACTCTCTTTCCTTTTCCTTATTGCTCTTCCTTCCCCCCAGCCCCCCACCCCCAACTCTGCTGCCTTTTCTAATCAGTACTTGCCTTTTCCTGTCTGTCCTGCATCTGCGTCTGCAGGCCTGGCTTCCTCTTCTGAATCCTGCCTCTGGGCCTGCCTGGACCCCGAAGCTGTTGGCTTCCTAGTTGAGAGCACTGGGCCAGAGGCACCTTGCTTGGTAAGGGCTGGTGGGTGGGGCTTCTGTGCCAGTTCTTTGTGCTGCCTGCAAATGTCAACTGAGCCTGTGCTGTTTGTGGCCTCAGGAAATAACAGTGCAGCTGTCCACAACTTGTCCAGCTAGACCCCAAGCCCACTCTCTAATTATATTTAAACAGCTAAAAATGGTGAACAATCTGGCAGCTTCCTTCAAATTCTTTAGCCCTATTTAGTGTTTATATGAACTAAGCAGTTACCTTTTTGATATGGAGATCATTGCCCATGTTCAGAATTTCCATGAGTATTTGTTATTTTTTTTAAAAGACCATTTAAACCCTCCAAGGGAAGTCCTGTGATTCTTTTGTGACTTATTCCTGGTATGACCAACTTTTCTCTCCTTGACAAATTAAAAACCCCCCAATATATTCATAAACAAAACTCTTTTTGACATAATGCAAGAATTTGAACAGCTTCCCTAGTTCCAATAGTGTTTTCCGACTTCCTCTCTCTCATGGATTACCCTTTTTGTTCCCGGCATAGCTCTCCTCCACTTAATAAACAACATGACATTTGACCCATTAATCTCCCATTTCTCTACTTAATAAGAAGGTTGCCCACATTGAAAAAGAATTCCTAGGGTACAAGAATGTCTTTTATTAACTTTCTGCTGACCCCATGGAACAGTCATTTTGTGGACCTCAAGTAAGGAATATTAGAAGCTACCTTTGTCCTTAATTTTTATACCTACAACTTTAGCTCTTTTAACCAGATCTAGAAATCAAGTTGAGAGTGGTGTTTAATAGTTGAGAGTGGTGCTAATAGTTGCACTTACAGCTGCCCACATTCCTAGGACCTGTGACAGAGGCACTGAAATGTTTGTCAGCCTTGGCCACCGGAGGGTTGCACTGGCCCCCTTTTGAGCTATCCTGGCTCTTTATGTGGAAGACGAATGTTTCGACTTTAAGAAATGACTGACCCAAAGTTTGGAACCCAGTCAGATGTTTTCAAACGCTACATTTTTCAGGTTGACTTGAAGAAGTCCAGTCTTCCCAATTAGTGTGCCCTTGAGTATAGCAATGAGGTTTGAGCAGTGTCCAGCACTAGGTCTTAACTCTGCTTTACCACTGAGAGGCTACATGCCAGGATTCAGCCCCTACCAGGAGCCCGGGGAATCCACACTGTGCTCTCTGGCTTTCTTTGCCAAAGTAACTTTCCCCAGTCCCTCTGCAGTGTGGCTGGACAGAGTTATGTTGTGTCCTTATTTGCTAGCCTGGTATGCTCCCTAACTGGGACCCCTGGTCTCAGCAACTGCCCCATACTCTTTGTGCAGAGCAAATATTTTCTTGGCGGATGGCTCCAAGTTACCTTGGCTTGCTCAACTCTGACTAAAGAATGAAAGGTTGAATTGATGTTGAAACTCTGCTTGCAGCCTGCAATCCAAACGCCTGCCGGGCCAGCGGCCGAGGCCTGCAGCCCAAAGGCATCCGCATCCGGGAGACGGCAGACTTCAAGGTTGACACCAAAGCTGCTGGAAGTGGGGAGCTTGGCATAACCGTGAAGGGTCCTAGTAAGTGCTCCTTTCTTCTCTCCTTTCGTGTGTGATTTCCGCCAAGTTTGAGGCTGTGGCATATGGATTTCACACCATGGCCTGTTCTGATCAATTTATCCCAGAGATCTGTGTCAAAGATTTGAGGCTATCTGGGCTCCATAGGGAAGGAAGCAGTGATCAATTAGTAATGTCTGCCCTGGTTGCAGGCAGGGACAGTGGTGGCTCCGCAGATTCACATTATATTAAGGCTTCTGGGAGTAGAAAAAGCAGTGATGCAATGAGATTTGGGAAATGCTGTCTTTGGGACAACAACCTAAAATGGTCATTTTTTATTTGAGGAAACCTAGGCTTAGAGAGGAAGGGTCTTGCCCAGGGTCCCACAACTTATAAGCATCTGAGCTGGAATTAAACTACAGCGTCCAAAGCCACTGATTTTCCCACTACAGATTATGCTTTGTAGACTGAAATTATGTCAAGTACCTAATTACTATGATCAGTGCTTATAGAAGGGGGATCAAATTCCCTAGGGTTAAGTTTCCTTTGTAAATAAATGCCATTTGTGGAGGGGTGGGTTGTACCCTGAAACTCATTCTTGCTCCCTCTTTTGGGAAAGGAGATAATAGATGTGAGGACGGGAGCCTACACCATCCTCGAGTTTCCCCCTGGAACGGATAAGCAGCCCAGCATTTCTAGTTGCAAGTGTAGCAGCTCTTGACTTCTGGAATCTTGAGTTTCCTGTGCTAGGATTGCTTTTACCCCCTGTGTTCCCAGCAGGCTGGGCAAGAGTGTTCTGAGCTCCAGAAAGTTAATATTTGATCTCAGAGCACCAAGTTTTGGACCAGGCTGAGCTCCAAGGGCAGCCAAGGTTCTAGACTGCTCAGACCTGGAGCCAAGCTGTTCAGGGGCTGCCCTCTTCCTGGCTTGTTGCTACAGGAGCCAAGGAAGCATTTTTTTCTGACCTTGGATTTTTGCTTGACTAAATGGCTTTCCCAGCCAAACCTCAAGGCTCAACATAAAACAAGTTCCTGCCTGATGGCTTTCTCTGGAGTTTGTGGTGTAGCATTTAAAATCTATCTTGTAGGTAGCATACAGGAGCTTTCTCACTTTCGTTGTCTGGCTTCAGTTGAAAAAGATATCCTAGGACACTAACCTGGAACTCATGCCAAATACTCAGAAAGGTTCATTCCCCTCTCAGGTTTTGTGTGTGTGTGTGCGCGTGGGGGAGGCTAAGATGGGTAGGATTCTTGAGGAAAAATTGAGATGCAACTAGATTTCTCTTTAAACAGACCCAGGAGTTCAGGCCTGCATAGCCCCTCATAACTGAGAGAGTCTACCGAAGCCAGTTATCTGAAAATCTACTTCCCCACAATTTGAAGCAGAGATGGGTCCATTTTTAGCTTTGGATTAATCTCTGAGGTTTTGGGCAGCCCTCTTAGGCAGCCCACTTAACTTTCCTCTGTGGCTATGTTTGTGGATATTGCTGTCTTTCTGTTCTTGTCTTTGGGGTTCTCGTTCTGAGTCTAGGATTGCATTGGAAAGATGGTGTGTTTCCTTCCTACAGAGGGTCTGGAGGAGCTGGTGAAGCAGAAAGGCTTTCTGGATGGGGTCTATGCATTTGAGTATTACCCCAGTGCCCCGGGGAAGTACAGCATCGCCATCACATGGGGGGGACACCACATTCCAAAGAGGTGAGTCTCCAGTTGGAGTTGCGTCTTCTCTGGAGGTGTGCTCTGCCCAGGGCAGGCCCACCGTGTTGGCTTCCTGGGCTGCAGGAGGGAAAGAGATCTGCTTTGTTGCAAACATTTTTTTTCTGGCAGCTCACAGACATTTGGCCTGTTCTCAAAAGCAGCAGAAAGTCACTGTGGTTTTGACTGCTTTGCTTTAAATCAAATGCTGGCGGTTTGGGGCTGGTGGTAGGCGGGGAAGCCAGAAGGAACAGTAATAGAGAGCAAATGGGCTGTGTGTCTGTATACCCTTATATAAACTGAGATTCTCTTTCTTTCAATGCGTGCCTCTATTCAGGAATGCCATGGGGGTGAAATCTTCTATGGTTTACATTAAAATCCTCTACACGAGTGCAGTCAGGAACCAAGGGACCAGTTTGCAGCTTTGCCGTGTGGGCTTTGCCGTGTGGGCTTTACAGTTTGCCCACCCTATGTTTACGTGTTTTCCAGCTCTACTGGGGTAACTTTAAACTCTGAATAAATTTAGTTTACCTTTAGAAATATCTGGGCATATTATAGGGCTCTGAGAATCTAAGCAAACTCATTTTTAATCTGCGTGAAAGTTAAAGCACATTCATTTGCCTATGAACTAATGCCCATTCAGCCTGGTTACAGCATAAGCAGGATGGGAAAGTGTGCACCCTCTTACCTTCCAGGGACCTCAGTCTCTCGAGCCCTGCTCACAAAAGGTAAATAACCAGAAAGATAGCACGAGGCAGTGTGGCTTGAGTGCCAACCTAATGGCCATCTGAATGCCCTGAGACAGCACATTACTTTATATTGTTGACCTAACAATGGCTGTGGGGGGGCCTTGTGGAGGAAGGGCTTGGCTGGAGGTTGGGACTGCAGGTGAAAGGATCCAGCAAGTGGAAAGAATAGGCATAAACAGCTTATGGCTGTATTTACCCCATTCTTTGCTCTTCTTTAACGCTGCTTCTGTTCCTTTTCTTTTAGTCCCTTTGAAGTTCAAGTTGGCCCTGAAGCAGGCATGCAGAAAGTCCGTGCGTGGGGCCCTGGCCTCCACGGTGGGATTGCAGGGCGGTCAGCAGACTTTGTGGTGGAGTCCATTGGCGCTGAGGTGGGGTCTCTGGGTAAGTGGAAGCAGCTGACCAGCAGCTTCTGGAGGGCTGAGATTACAGGGGGATTGGGCCTGGTATTAGGCTGAGAGTTGGGGCCTCCTGAGCCTCACTACCCTTAACCTCCTGGTCTCCTCACCACCCGAGGCTGCCTCTGCGTACTGCTGTGGAATTGCAGTTCCCATTTTCCCCCTGCCCTTCAGGTTGCCCTCTGCCTCATTCATTCATTCATCCACTAGACCTTGAGAGCAGAGGCTTTCTATGGATGTTGTGCCTGGAACATAGTAGGCACTCAACAAATATTGTTGGCTGATCCGTAGTTTAGATTAGATGAATGAATTAACTTTTCTGAAATCAGAAATTTGGGGAGTAAATATTTTTTGGGGCATAATTGAATATGTTTAAAATATACATTTGATGTATATATGATCATTTTAGATCGGTGGTCAGCACTGATCTCTCTTCAGAGTATTAGCAAATATTTTAGTATCGCGGGTCATATTCTCTTTCGCAACTATTCGACTTTGCTGTTGTAGCATGAAAGCAGCAGTAGAAAATATGTAAGCGAAGGAGTATGGCTATGTTTCAGTAAAACCTTATTTACAAAAACAGGCAGTGGTCAGATATGGCCTACTGGCCATAGTTTGATGACCTATATCTCAGGTATTAAAAATAAAAGGGAGAAAATAAGAAATCACATTAAATTTTTCCTTCTAGAGAGAAAAGAAATATTTTGGTATATCCTTGTAGACTAGAGATAATATTAAACCTTTGGGCATATCCTTTCAGACTTTTTTCCTGTATATACACATATAAGTATTTATCTGTCACACACAAAAAATATCTGGGGAAAGTCTTTATATCTTCCTGCCTCAGATAAATACAGCACATACCTCGATTTTCCATGGCTTCCATGGAATTCCATTGCATGAATGTATCTTATTGGGCTCTCTAGTTATTTCCAGGGTTTTGCCATAAAAAACAATGCTGAATACATATCCTTGTGTCTAACTATTTATACACATCCTTGCTTATTTCCTTCAGATAAAAGCCCAAAGATGGATTTGGTGGGGGAAAGGGTGGGCATTGGTTTAAGGCTTTTGGCATGTGTTTCCATATTGCCAATAATGGTTTGTGGGTTGACCCTTATTGTTAGATGATATTAAAATAAAAGTATAAAATCCAATTCTTCCATCTCTAATGAAGGCTCAGTAGGCTTGGTTTTGTGGGAAAGGGACACAAACAGATTTCAACCTTCTGGGCAACACTGGCTTTTAGGTAGGTAGAGGGAGTGAGTTGGTAGTCACATAGAATAGGCGCTTTTCACCATGTAACCAGGGGGCTCTCCCTCCCCACCCCCAGGGTTTGCCATTGAAGGCCCCTCCCAGGCGAAGATTGAGTACGACGACCAGAACGATGGATCATGTGACGTCAAGTACTGGCCCAAGGAACCTGGCGAGTATGCCGTTCACATCATGTGTGATGATGAAGACATCAAGGACAGTCCATACATGGCCTTCATCCACCCGGCCGCAGGAGACTATAACCCAGACCTGGTGAATCAACTTGTTATGTTTCTGGCTTCTATTTTCTGGCTTCTGGCACCCTCCCTGGCACCCGGAGAGTCACCTTAAGCAGCATGTTGAAAGATGCCAGAGAGGAGCCTTTTAGAGCTTGGGGAGGAAACTGGCCTGGATTGGAATCCTGGTGGTACCACTGAGTAATGTTCTAATGTTGGGCAAGTAACTTACCTCTGAGTCTTGATATCTTCCTCTATAAAACGGGGATGATAGTAGGGTCTGCTTCCTCGAGTTTATGGGATGATTCAAGGAGGTAACTAACAAGCATAGAGACAGCCCTTCGCCCGGTGCATGGCCCATGTAGGGGGCTCCATAAGAAGAGGTTTTCTTGCAACCTGGAGCATCATATTTCAGTCTTGCCACTTTTTGAGGTTCTTATTTTAAGATGCTCCATGGATAATGGTGTTTTTTTTTCTCCTCAGCTCCCTTCTCTTAAATTGGAGCAGTATTTTCAGTGTTTCCAAGAGCTTCTTTGCACCCTTTGCAGACTGATAAGCATCAAGTCTGAGCCAGCCTGGCTGATAGGAGGAGGCCCCCAGACCCCATGTATGCTGCTGTTGGCACACATGGGCAGCTGTCCATAGGCTGTCTGCTGGTCCTTTGCTCTCCGGGGGCTGCACACATTTAGAATGTTGTTGGTGGCAAAGGTTCTGAGCCCCTTCAAAGGGTAATGTTGAAATTGGGCATTGCTGGAGGTCCCTGCCCCAGTTACTAGAAGTTCTCTATGTCAGCTCAGAATAAGGCAGGGAGCCCAGCCTAGTTTGGGGCCTGGTTATAGGGAGTTTTCTCTTTCATGAATGGTTAATAATACAGTTTTTTATTTTTAAGTCAGAGCCTACTTTAGCATTTTCCTTCCAATAACCATCCTGTTACTTATGTGCTTTAAAGCTAGACACAGTTGTTTTGTTCTTCCCTGCCTCTGGTCACTAGTCTTTACAGAGGGTTTAGTTGGGCCATTCATTGCACAGAAAGAGAATCATTATTGGCCCTCTGCCCCAGGTCCAAGCGTATGGGCCAGGTTTGGAGAAATCTGGGTGCATCGTCAACAACCTGGCGGAGTTCACCGTGGATCCCAAGGATGCTGGAAAAGCTCCCTTAAAGATATTTGCTCAGGTAAGTTTCCAGGGGTCACCTGTGCAGGTAATTGTCAGGTGACAAGATCCTACAGTGTAATGGCATGCTGCTCGGTTCATCTGATCCTCAGTTTCCTTATCTATGCATTGGGAGCAATAAGAATACTTATCTCTTGGGTTATATGAAGAGTAAATGAGATTCCAACATTTAAAGCAGGGTGCTTTTATTATTATTACGATTTGCATTCTTTGGAAACAAGACTTGATTGTTTGAGATTTCCCTGTAAATGTCTTGGTATGGCTGAAGGTACGTAGGCCATGATGAGAGGTTTGTAAAAAAGGATTTATTAAATGTGTTAATTTAAATGAACTGGTCAAAGGATTTTAACGTAGGCATTGAAATTAAGCATTGAGTGTCCATGGTTTTCTTTTGGGCCATTTGCCCTTAATGATTAAAAATAAATAAATGCTTGTAGTGTTTTTCTCACCTGTGGTCATGGTCATTGTATTGTAAGAACAAGGCTTGTCATAGTTTTTCTGTGTGGTTTTGTTGGATGAGTGTGTGGTGACTTGGCTGTCGGTGACCCTATTGGATGAAGATGGTTGAGGGTCAGTTCTGTTCTTAGCCCCTCCTCTTTTGCAGGATGGGGAAGGCCAACCCATTGACATCCAGATGAAGAGTCGGATGGACGGCACGTACGCCTGCTCGTACACCCCAGTTAAACCCATCAAGCACACCATTGCTGTGGTCTGGGGAGGTGTGAACATCCCACACAGCCCCTACCGGGTAGGTTGTGAGGCGGAATCCTGGCCATGGCGTGAAAAGCCCAGTCCCGTGGCAGATCTGGACTCCATCCGGCCTCATAGCTAAGGCAGATATGTGGGAAGAACCCATCATCCTTGGTGGGCCTTGAAAGATGGATGCCCTGAGGGCAAGGTGCTCTCGATTGCCCAAAAGAACTATTTCTTTTTTTTAAGACAGGTTTTTTGTTTGTTTTTTAAAAATATGTATTGATTTCAGAGAGAGGAGGGGGGAGAGAGAGAGAGAGAGAGAAACATCAATGATGAGAGTCATTGATTGGCTGCCTCCTGCACACCCCCTACTGAGGTTCAAGCCTGAAACCTGGGCATGTGCCCTGATCGGGAATCGAACCTTGATCTCCTGGATCGTAGGTAGATGCTCAACTGCTGAGCCACACTGGCCGGACACCAAAAGGACTATTTGTAACAATGTTAACTAACAATGTTTTCCTGGGTCCAAGTGGAAGAAAACTTGACTGCACCTTTCTCCATGTCCTCTCTAGGTCTACATTGGGCAGGGTAGCCATCCCCAGAAGGTCAAAGTGTTTGGGCCAGGTGTGGAGAGAAGTGGACTGAAGGCAAATGAGCCGACTCACTTCACAGTGGACTGTACCGAGGCTGGGGAAGGTGAGAGGGGGCTTCACCCAACACAGGGATTGCTGCTCCTTGGGGAATTAAGTTGTTTTTGTAACGGTTCAAGGGCAGTGAGCTTTGAACCGGTAGTCCGCCTGAATTAGGTAATCTAATGAGCCTGTGTCAGTTCCTTGGAGATATCTCTGCTAATCCTCCATCTTTTCTCCAAAAGGGGGGCTTACCAGCACCCCTTTCTCATGTTTCTTACTGCAAACTTCCCAGTTACTTAATATTTGGGGGCGTTCGGCTGAGCTGGGAGTGATTGCTTGGGACATGCTGGTTCTTGTAAACTGGTGCTAATGAGCTGGTCTGTTGCAGGTGATGTCAGTGTTGGCATTAAATGCGATGCCCGGGTGTTGAGTGAGGATGAGGAAGATGTGGATTTTGACATTATTCACAATGCCAACGACACGTTTACAGTCAAATACGTGCCTCCTGCCGCTGGGCGATACACTATCAAAGTTCTCTTTGCATCTCAGGTGTGTGGGGCTAGGTTCTTTCCGGCCACCCGTACCCAGGGGGAAAGTGTCTTCAGGGCTTTTCTCCGTGGTTTTTCTCTCTGGTTCATTAAAATCAAGAAGGGGAGGGGAAAAAAACCCAAACTAAAATTTTACCACTTTCTAACAAAAGTGAGGCAGTGTATTCAGTGTGGTTCAAAGCAGGGCTCTGAAAAGAAATCGGTTTGTTATAAACCTTCATCACTGTTTTGACTGAAATGTAATCAACTTCTAGATGTGTTCTACCTCAACCTCTCTGAAGCCATGACTTTGGCCTTGGCCTTTAAACTTTTATAGAGAGAGGAGTTTGAAGTTTCAGTAGAGTTCCTATTTATGAGTGGTAGTGAAAACAGGGTGAGCAGAACCTAAGACAGGGAAGAACAGGATCCTGGTGATTCAAATGAACTTTACATAGAAACAGGGACCTCCAGAGGGAGCCCCAGTTCTAAAAGTGTTGGTCTTGAGTTGACCTCATCCAGTTAACCTGCTCTGCCTTTATTCTGACAGTCTGTGACATTCTTTATGAAGAATTATAACCGTTCTATTTCTGATCAATTCCTTGCAGTCCCCAAACCATAGCTCTCAGCTATCCCTAGAGGATATTTTCTTCCCTCTCGCCCCATATAGTATTGCCACCTTTGGCTTTATTCTTGGTGGTATTTTTTGCATCCTAAGTACTCAACGATTGGTGTTAAAGGCTCAGTGTTACCAGATTAGTTTGTGGGAAACCTTCATTTGGCCATGAAGAAAATGGGTGAAAGCCCATAATGTAGGGGACCAAGGCATTCATAAGTGATCGACTATGGCCCTTACCTGATGCTAGAGTATGGAGGCTTGACCTGTGGTAGCAGAAGTGTGCTCACCACCCCCTAAAGTCAGAATTGGGCTGAGGGTTCCTTCACTTGGGCAGAAGGCTAAGCTCTGGCAATTGCTTCAGGGGCTTTCCTACTGAGACAGTGTCTCTGCCACAGGAAATCCCCGCCAGCCCTTTCAGAGTCAGAGTGGACCCTTCCCACGATGCCAGCAAGGTGAAGGCGGAAGGCCCGGGCCTCAGCAAAGCAGGTAAGATGGCTGTGTGTGAGGCCATCCTGGAGGCTCTGGAGGCCAGGTCAGTGGGCATGCTCTGCCCGAGGCCTGGGGGGACCCATGGCAGGTGTTCTGTGGGGCCCTAGTTCAGCAGGCAGAGCTCCTGCCACTGATGGCATGGCTGAGCCCCAGCCCCTATCTCTGGCTGCCTCTGTAGAGCAGGTGCTGATGAACCTGTCAGACTGGTTCTAAAAGTGAAACCACTCCAGCCAGGCCTTTCTCCTCACTTCATGGTTTATCTTTCCAGGTGTGGAAAATGGGAAACCAACCCACTTCACAGTCTACACCAAAGGGGCCGGAAAAGCCCCACTGAATGTGCAGTTCAGCAGCCCCCTCCCCAGCGATGCGGTGAAGGATTTGGACATCATCGATAATTATGACTATTCCCACACCGTTAAATACACACCCACCCAGCAGGTAGGGGCCTTTCCATCCCCGGACTGTTGGTCCCGTCCAGACCCCTTTCCCCAGGTCCCTTTCCCCTGTGCTGTGTAATCTGTGTTCCCCTGTGGGAGATGGCTCTTCACATTTTTGTTTGGAACCGGATTGGTTCTATCAGGAGGATTCCTGAAGGATTCCCCGAGAACAGGTGGGGAACCTTTGTTTTTTTTTTCTGCCTGGCCCTTTTAGCTCAGTTTACCTTTTACAAGGTGTTATAGTGGGGTCTTTCTCAAAGTCTTTCCCCAAGAGCCAGTGTTTAGCCTTTAGGCCCTCAGGCCTGAAATGCTATTTAGGGCCCCAGATTATTGCCATTTACAAAATACAGGAACACAGACAGGATTTTACAATTCAGGGGTTTTTGCTCTGATTACTTTAGGGAATAAGGGCCTAAAAAAGTACCTCTCTCTACAAATTCATGTTTATTTGTTTAAAGTTGTTATTCTTCATGTCCACACCTCTCGGGGCCGGGAGCAGGTGTCCCTGCTGAAAAGCCTGGGTTTTACTGCTCATGCAGAGCGTTCTAAACAGTCATTGCAAACCTCCGATCTCCTTCATTCTTGAAGAACAGAGCCCCCTATGTGAGAAACACCATTAGTAGGAGAAGTGCAGCGATGCTCTCTGCAGAAACACTGCCCAGCAGCCTCACTCGGCAAGGAGCTGGCCAGAGTGCAGTGGGGAAGAGCGAAGATGAGGGAAGGTGTGGGTGTCCCCTTGCGCTGCGGGCGCCACATCCTTCGAGATGGGATCTTTACTGTGAGACCTTCTCTGACACTAAGGGTTTTTTTTCCAGGGCAGAAACCCCCTTAGTGTCAAGGGGCACACAAACCCCTTTAGTTTGTGTGCCACATCACCAGCGTGGCTTCTTACCTCCAGATGTGCTGCTGCTTGTTGGTTTATTTCTTTATTTTCTTACTTTAATGAGGGGCTCATTAGTAGTAGTGGTAAAACTAATACTTTTGTTGACAGAATACCCCTTTGTCATCAGGCTGCTCAGTGCTAGTAGGTAATGATTTTCCTGCTGATGCTCCTGAGGGCTGGCGGGGGCTGTACCTGTGGGAGCACTAGCTCAATGTCATCCTTCTCAGCATTCCTTCAGAGAAGGTACCAGAACGCGTGGACACGCACACTGGTCAGATCACAAGGTCACGGACTCTTATAAAAACATTTTGAGACTCTTGCTTTATCCTGTACCTGTATACCTTCCTGTGTTTCAGCTGTGCTGCTAAAAAGCAAGTTGCAGAAGTCAGGTCAGGCTCAGGTTTTGACCTGCATCCCCAGAAAGGACTTTAGAACCCATGGCCCTGGATGACTCCAGCTACCGAATGAGGTAGAGGTGGAGGTCCAGAGCCCGTGTCTTATTCCGTTGCATTTGATATGAGGCTAGAGTGGGAGGGTCCTTAATCCAGTCACTAAGGTCAAGTTCATCCAGTTCTCTGACAGCAGCAGGTTTGAAGGAAATCTCTGGTCCTTTGTTGTTCAGAGTGAGGTTTTGTTTCAGTATTTGGGCAACTTGCAATTCTTCATATTCCTCTATGGCATAGAAAACAGATTAAATCTCTCCTCTTGGATTGCGAGTTCCCCAGGAATAGGATAATATATACGTATACATATATCTGTCTTTCTGTCCCCAGGCCCAAGTACAGGCCTGACTCTGCAGGTGCTCCGTGTAGACTTACAGACAGTGGGTGAATGAATGAAGTCTCAGCTCACAGAGACAATTTAGGAATGTTGTAACCTGCTAGGAGAGTGGGGCCTACTTTTGAACTCTCTTTTCTGAAGAGCATCCAACTGCTCAAGATTGGGTTAAATAAGTGTACTGTTTGAGCTGTGCTCTTGGATATAGTTAAGAGGCCTGGGTCAGCCCAGAAAGCTATGCCCAACACAGAGGCGGGGAGTATACTTTGTGGGCTGATACCCGCAGGCACACCTCGTGGTGGTTTTAGGGAATAACAGGCTGGAACTTTCCAGCAGTGCAGCTGTTTGATGTGTGTGGATAGACTGGGATGGGTCCTGACTCTGGGCAAGTGCTCTCCCCTCAGAATTCAGACTGTGGTGTGAGGAGCCATGGCCTTACCTGATTTCTGGCTCTTTGCTCCCAAGTACCTGCAGGCTGCTGCTGTCTCCTGCAGGGTCCCCGAGCCACAGCTTACACGTGCTCACCTGCAGCTTGTACGTGCTCATCTGCCTGCTGTGGACTAGGGATTGTTATTGCTGGTTGATCTTGTTAGCTCTTGTCAGAAGTTAGTGGTCAGAGCTCTTTTTGTCTCGGACGAATGGACTTGGGCAAGGCCTTGAGGTCCTCCCAAAGGCCAAACCAAGGCTTGATTTTATGGGAGGGAATTTATACAATGCCACTTTCCCCTGGGGGTTTTGCCTCTGAGCTTCTGATCGTCCGTGGCCTCAAGTGACTTCAGTTTCTTACCCCAAGCTTCCCTGAACAGAGAGGTTAGAGAAGCTGGTGTCAGCAGCTCCATGACTTGCCGAGTCAGGAGCCTCTGGGATTTGAAAATGCCTCCTGTTACTGTGGCACCTTTAGAAAACCCCATGAGCTCACTGGGCCTCCCAGGATAACCCTCCCTTGAAGTAGTATTACTGCTGGTGTCACAGATGTCTCTGGAAGGTGGGGTGGTGGGTGGCTCTCCCTCCTATCTTTGTCTCAGCTCTCAGATCACAGTCTTGGAGGTGTGTGTTTTGCAGAATAAGATTAAGGTCTCAGAAGCATGTAGGGGAGAGTAAAACTGTCCTGCAGTCTGAGAAGGAGTCTGTGAAATGTGCAGTGGTCACTGCTTGGGCTCCCTCACTTCACAGCCTCTGGGAAAGCACAGGCCATTTCTTGGCTGGGGCCTCCCAGCCAACCTGGAAATGCTACAGACCATCACAGGTGTAACTCTAAGCTTTCTTCCTCCCCTTGTTAGATTATTTAAGGTAGAGTTAATTTCCTGTTGGAGTTTTTGTTTTGTTTTTTCTGACTGGTAATGAGAGCATACTTTCTTTTGTGGAGTGGGGAGGCTTAGCCAGAAGAGGACTTTCCCCTCTCCGTTGCCACCCCAGAGGGGTGGTCTGAAAACGTGCAGTGGGTGGTGGGGAAGGTTTTCCCTGGACCCTGGGTTAGCTGTGAGGCCTAGCCCTCGAGGAGTTAGGGGGTGAACTGAAGCTGGGAATGAGCTGACATGTGGGGAGTGAGCTGGCATGTCGAGTATGCCGTGGTGGCCGAATTAACAATTCAGTCCCTGCTCTGTTGAATCTGACCCGCGTACATTTTACCATGAAATGTTACACCCTGGAGGCAGGAGGCTGGTCGGTTTTGTGCGTAGTGCAAATAAATCCTGGAAAACCAATCCTCCCTTCTTCATTGATACAACCAATTTTTTTCCTTGGCTTTCCCCCGCTTTGTTATTACAAAAGGAATGTGAGAAAATATACACAGGCCAAAACCTACACCCTTTGAACCCTGGATCAGTGAGGGCTTTCAGCAGGGGCTGAATTCCAGCGAGCTCTGGATTCCTGGGGAGGGTCGTCTCTCCACCCCCCTTTCTTGCCTCTTTGAGGGGAGGGGATCTTAATTGACTGAGACAGCCATGGCTTTCATGGAGCCTTGGTTTGGAGAGAGGGGGCCGTGGAGGGAGGAAGCCACAGTGAGTGGGCCAGACTGGCCAGGGGAGAACAGCAGCAGCACATCAGGCCATGCAGCACCTCTGCAGCCACAGAGGCCACCGGCGAGGGGCCCGCCACACGCACAGGCCAGCCTGCCTTCACATTGGCAGCTCTTGTCCCCTGACATAGATGCAGGAGTCTATATACCATGCAGTGCTCTTCTCACAGCACCCAGGTGAACTCTTGCAAATCTCTTTCTCAGCTTGGTGACCGGAAATCGATTCCCAGGACCAAAAAAATGGTTTTGTTCAGTTAGAAGTCCCCGGGCCCAGCTGCTTTCCCCATGGCTGGGGTTGGGTGTGTGTTGGGTGCAGAGGTGGTGTGGCAGAGCTGCTAGGATATAGGTTTGGGTGCCGTGGGTATAAGGCCCAGCTCACATTTACCAAGAGGGTGACTTGGGGAAAGTGACTTTGCCTCTCTAAGCTCAAGTTTCCCTTCCTAGAAAAATCAGGATGTCAGAGGGAACTACCCCTGAGGACTGTTTGAGATTGAATCCACGAAGTGCTTAAAAGCACAGAGAGTAGTATGTTCATTAAATTGCCCCTGTTGTTATTAGTTGCTCTTATTTTATCTGATTTCTCAGACATTCTTACCATGGGGCCAGAAGCTTAAAGAAATACGTCTGAGATGCTTTCTGCATCCACCGGCATCAAATACCCTGTGTCTCTGGGACAATGAAAGGTCTAAAAGGCAGGTTTAACACCTAGTTTGTGGATTTGTACCTAAAGGTGTACTCGGTTTTCTCTCATTCCAGGGCAGCATGCAGGTTCTGGTTACATATGGTGGCGATCCCATTCCTAAAAGCCCATTCACTGTGGGCGTGGCTGCTCCGCTGGACCTGAGCAAGATAAAAATTAATGGACTGGAAAACAGTAAGTGTGTGAATGGAGAGGAGACAGGTCATTGAAGACCACCATCGGGGCTGTCAGATTCCCTTTAAAAGACAATTCACAGAGAACCAATTTCTGACTTAAGAGATGTTACACTAGGACAGACTTGTTTTTGGATTGGGGCCGTGCAGTGGGAACCTACCCGATGCTTAAAGTCACCAAACCTCAGTGTGCAGTGGGGGTGGGGTGGAGGTGGTCAAGAACACTTAAGGGAATATTGAGAAAATTAAATGAGCTAATACTTCAGACCCTGGCACAGTAACTCAGTAACAGGCCTTGATAATTGCTGGCATCACAGTGGAATGTTTTCATTACAAAGAAGTTGGGCACATTGCTCTCTGGTGAGCTTCTCCTGTGCCAGCTATCCTTGGCCATCACATCCACGTTAGGTTCAGGAGTCAGGCATTAAAGCCAGCTCCCTGGCACTCAGAAACCACAACTAGAATGCACCCCTCTCCCTCCTCCCAATATTCCTTTAGCTTATTAGGTATCTTATTACTATACTCATTTCAATTTAATTAAGAAAAATTTTATTAGGGAAAATTTCAAACATATGAAAGAAAGAGAGTCGTATAATATGAACACTGATGTACTTAACACTCACCCTTAGAAGTTTAGCATGTGACTATAAAATTATTTTTTTACCCAAGAAATACATAAACCAATTTTTCACCTAAAAAACATCACAGTGAAGAGCAAATTCCACTTTAGCCATCACCTCTTCCCTCCCTTGGGTTAACCAGTTACCGGTTCATTTTCTATCCCTCCAGACCCTCTCTCTGCATCTGCCTGTACGTACCTGCCAGCGGAAAACACTGAGTGTTTACTTAGCATTACAGTTATCCTGCTCTCCCCAGGGTCTCCAGCCTGCCTTTTACTTCAGCAGTGCTTCTTAGAGAACATTCACACCGAGTGCCCGCAGCCTGGCTGCACCTCTGTGGTACACGTTCACCTGCTTTCAGGCACACGGGGCACTCAGTGCGTACCCCTAGGGAAGGCCTCTTGTTCCACCCACGAGGGTCTTTCTGGGTCTCAGTGGGGCCATCGGCAGGTTCCTTCATTGACCTGTGACCAAATGTACTCGTTATGAATGAGGCCAGCTCCCAGCTCCAGGGCTCAGAAACAAAGAGCTTGATGCCAGCTTTTGTCCCTGGGGGCAGCCAGCTCTGAGCATAGGAATGGTCACTGTCTAACCCTTCATGTGTCCTCTGGTCGCTCCTTTCTCCAAGACACCAAGGGTTTCATCTCCAGACCTGGTAAATCACAATGCCAATTAGGAAAATCCTTTGGGATGTGGAGCTCTGAGGCCTCTGAGGATTTACCGGGGGGTGGGGGCTGTGTTCATGTTTCCAGTCTTCTGTTTTGGTTCAAAGTTCTTTCCCTGTTTTTGTCAAATGCTACACATGGTTTTCTGTGGTCTGCTCTGCAAAGACCTTTCAAATACCAGCTCCGTGACTTTTGCCTTCTTGGCTGTAGGATTAAATTTGCTGCCAAGAATTAGTAAATTAAACACTGGCTTATGGAAGTATTTTGATATAAAGTTAACACCAAAAGTAAGTAAAGGAGAAAAGACTGAGATTATAACTTACTGGTCAGCAAAGCAGATTGTAGAGTCAAGTAAGTTTAGGTTTGAGTCCCAGCTTTGTGATCTGCTGGATACAGACCCCAGACAAGTTACTTTACCTTTATGAGCCACACTTTCCCCATCTGTTAAAACTGTTGGTTACTAATAAATACCCCATAGGATTGTGGTGAAAATGAAAGGAGATAATGTGTTGTACTAAGGCTTGGAGTACAGAATGCATTCAATAAATGACAGATATCATTATTAATATTAATAATCATTAATTAACTGGCTTACCTTTTCCAGGAGTGGAAGTTGGGAAGGATCAGGAGTTCGCCATTGACACCAGAGGGGCAGGAGGCCAGGGGAAGCTGGACGTGACGATCCTGAGCCCCTCGAGGAAGGTCGTGCCATGTCTGGTGGCCCCTGTGGCTGGCCGGGAGAGCAGCACGGCTAAGTTCATCCCTCGGGAGGAGGGTCTTTATGCCGTAGATGTGACCTATGATGGACACCCTGTGCCCGGGAGCCCCTACACAGTGGAGGCCTCATTACCGCCTGATCCCACCAAGGTCAGCTTTTGTTTTTGTTCGAGAATGTGTCCCCTCTTATCTAATATAACTCCACACATAGTCCTTCCCCGATCCTGAAAAATAACTTTAGAAAATTGTGTTGTGATGAAAGTTCTCAATGGCGGACAGTAGTTCTCTTTCCTACAGTTCAGTGTGCAGGGTCCTGTGAGCAGCTGGGTCCCACCCCTGCTACTCCTCTCACTGTCTGGCATGAGGGGCTCCCCATCCCTGAGTTCTGTTCCTTCATTTGTTAGTGTAATAATGGTACTCTCACCCTGGCCGGTGTGGCTTAGCAGTTAGAGCATCGCCCCGAGCATTGAATGGTCGCGGATTCAATTCCCTGTCAAGGGCACATACCTAGATTGCAGGTTTGATCCCTGGCTCTGGTTGGGGTGTGGGGAGGCTTCCAATCTATGTGTCTCTCTCACACTGATGTTTCTCTCTCTCCCTTCCTCTCTCTCTCAAAATAAAATAATAATAATGGTACTTGCTTCAAAGTGAGCCTGTCAGAGTAGGAGAGGTATGTGGAAATGGAGGCCTCCGCCCAGCATCTAGCACACAGAATGAGCTCACCCACAGATGCTAGAACAACTAAATATAAAAATAGGTTATTCTCATTCTCATTTCTTCCTGGTAGCCATGAATCAAGGGTGCTAGAGTATTCCCAGTGGTCTGGCGTGAATCCTATAAGACTATCTGGTTTATTGAATTACAGATGAAAACCCTCACCCCTTCCTCTTTTAAAAACAGTTTAGTTTTTTAAATTTGCTTTTAAATTTTTCTTAGACTTTACTTTCTAGAGCAGTTTTAGGTTCATGGTAAGATTGAGAGAAAGGTAAGAGATTTCCCCCCTCATCCCTGCCCCCACACATGCATGGCCTCCCCTCATCACCATCTCCCAGCAAAGTGGTCCATCTTAACTGATGAGCCTACATCGACATCAAAATCACCCAGCCCCCACAGTGTACATTAGGGCTCCCTCTTGGTGCTGAACAGTCTATGGGTTTGGACAAGTATATAATGACATGTGTCCATCGTGACAGCTACTTTTTTATTATGCAGAATTTGTTGAGGGAGGTGTAGCAGCCAAAGGAACAGTGAGATCCGTGCAAACTGTTCCATGAGCACTCAATCAGGAGCCTGTGTGTGTTTGTGGGACTGGATGCTAGGCCTCCAGCTCTACCCCGGAGGTTCAGATGAGCTGGGCACGGCAGGAGGAGGTCATGCTCTGGGCTTCAGCAGCCCGCACCTCTTCGCTGTGGCTTTCAGCGTTGATTAGCTCACAGCCACGTCTCCCTTGGCTGTTTGCAGCTGTAACCCGGTAGTGTGGGTGAGGGTGTCACAAGTTGGGCCCCGGGGAAAGGGCCCACTACTTGAGATGAGGTTCACTGCTGCTTACAGGCTGGGTGTTGAAAGCAGTGCTGGCTGAGCAGCAATATTAGTGTCAGGCTAATTGACTTTTATTCTTTCTTTAACTAGGTGAAGGCCCATGGTCCTGGCCTGGAGGGTGGCCTTGTGGGCAAGCCCGCCGAGTTCACCATCGACACCAAAGGAGCTGGAACTGGAGGTTTGGGCCTGACCGTGGAAGGGCCATGCGAGGCTAAAATTGAATGCTCGGACAACGGCGACGGGACCTGCTCCGTCTCCTACCTGCCCACAAAACCCGGGGAGTACTTTGTCAACATTCTCTTTGAGGAAGTCCACATACCTGGTTCTCCCTTCAAAGCCGACATTGAAATGCCGTTCGATCCCTCTAAAGTCGTGGCGTCGGGACCTGGCCTGGAGCATGGGAAAGTGGGTGAAGCTGGGCTGCTCAGCGTTGACTGTTCAGAAGCAGGCCCTGGGGCCCTGGGCCTGGAGGCTGTCTCAGACTCGGGAGCCAAAGCTGAGGTCTGTATTGAGAACAACAAAGATGGCACCTATGCTGTGACCTACGTGCCCCTGACCGCTGGCATGTATACGCTGACCATGAAGTACGGCGGCGAGCTCGTGCCCCACTTCCCTGCTCGTGTCAAGGTGGAGCCAGCTGTGGACACCAGCAGGGTCAAAGTCTTTGGGCCAGGAATAGAAGGAAAAGGTGGGTTTCATTAAGAAAAAAAAGAGGGAGGCTGTAACCCCCTTGTACGCCTTTGTCCCAGAATGTATACAGTGGTTATCACTTGTCTGAGACTGCCCTGGCAGGTGCTTCTTTTTGTGGGGGGCAGGGGTGCATATTAGTTTCCTGGCTTTGAGAGTCATACCACTTGTCTGCTGTCACTTAATTGTGCCTTAAGTGCCAGGAACCTTGGTTCTTGGGTTTGCTCCTGGGTCCGAGGTGTTGGTGATGTTTTTCTCTGTGTGATTGCTCTGCAGATGTGTTTCGTGAAGCCACCACTGACTTCACTGTCGACTCACGGCCCCTGACAAAGGTGGGGGGCAACCACATCAAGGCCCACATTGCCAACCCCTCAGGGGCCTCCACCGAGTGCTTCGTCACAGACAATGCCGATGGGACCTACCAGGTGGAGTACACACCCTTCGAGAAAGGTGAGTTGGACATGACCCTTGGACATGATCCTTGCTCAAAACTATGCATGGCCATTTTCTCCTGGTGGCTGATGCTGATTTCTGCCCCGTATGCTCAGCCCGTCTTCTCAATAGAGGCACTTGCAAAGTGACAGGGAAATACGAAAACCCATCTTCTCAACAGAGCCACCCACTCAGGGCCTGGCATACTGGCCCTGTTGTGTGACAGTTGGGCTGGATTTAGCCTAAGCTCCACCTGAGCAGTGCAAGGCATCATGTCATAGATGTTGATCATCCATGTAAACATTTTTTAGCGCATTGATGTCTTTCCTGAATATTAAAAATTATAAAACATTTTGTTAAATTATAAAAGCATAAAGAAAAAATCAAAGTACCATATATCCATTTTTTAAATTTTAAATTTTTATTATTATTTTTAAATATATTTTTATTGATTTCAGAGAGAGGAAGAGAGGGAGAGAGAGAGATAGAAACATCAATGACGAGAGAGTCATTGATTGGCTGCCTATCCTGCAATCCGGGCAAGTGCCCTGACCGGGCATCGAACCCCGATCTCCTGGATCCTAGGTCGATGCTCAACTGCTGAGCCACACCCAGCCGGGCATCCTTTTTTTTAAAAGTACCATATATTCTTATACCTGGATATAGGATCCCTATAAATACTCTGTATAGATATTTTAACCTTTTTTTATAGATGCACGTATATTCTATATTATGGATTTTTCTGTCTTTTGGTTAATGACTGGATGGAGTTTTCCCAAAACAGGGCAGGATGATTAAGATGACTGACTTCAGTGTAGAGTTAGTGATATTTGTTGGCAGGAGAGGCTGTGTGTGTACATGTACGTGTGTGTATGTGGATGTGGGTGTGTGGGTCATGTGAATGCCAAGTGAACAGAAAGCATAAGTAGACAATTTGTATTTTTAAAAAATCAGATTATATCAATATTAATATATCTTTAACCTTCCCTTTTCAAATAACATGGTAAAACACACAGACATGTATGCTAGATAAAACCCTGGGGTAGAGTGTCATTTTCCACAAACATGTGACTCCTGTACAATTTGTTTTTGTTTGTTGTTTCGAACAGGCCTCCATGTAGTGGAGGTAACATATGATGATGTGCCCATCCCGAACAGTCCTTTCAAAGTGGCTGTAACTGAAGGCTGCCAGCCATCTCGGGTCCAAGCCCAAGGACCTGGACTGAAAGAGGCCTTTACCAACAAACCCAATGTCTTCACTGTGGTTACCAGGTAAGCAAGGCCATGGGGTTTGTGTGTTGACTCTGTAAAAGGAGCAGCCCTAAGTAGCTTAACTGTTTTAAAGAAGTTTTGTGGGTGTTTCCTATATTTGTGTAAAGTCTCCCAACTTTTGAGAGACTTTTTTTTTTTTCATGATACAGGAGACATTTTGTTCTGTAGAGATTTATGTTACAGAGAAAGACCAAGTATACCGAAAAGGTACCAAAAAGCACTGATAATAACAGTCATAAAACCACTGAGCAATCCAGGACTAGATGGAAGCTCCTTAACTTGACAATGCTGAAATATATAACCAGTCTCATATTTAAGTGCAGTATTAGAAGAATTCCTGTTAAATAGGTCACAAGGCACATTCCTGAATTGTACTTGTAGTTCTAGCCAATGCAATTAGATAAGAAAAACGAAGGATAAACATTGAAAAGGGGGGGTGTCAAAGCTGTATTTTTTCATTGTTGAGAAATTCCTTGTGTGAGAAGTGTCATAAAAGTTGAGTTGGGTTGGCTAAATGGGAAGTCTGTAGAGGGATTTTAAATGAATTTTGTCGATAAGCAGACTGGCACGAACCACTAGCACTACTTTGCTTTCTTTTCCACACTTTCCAGAGGGGCAGGAATTGGCGGGCTTGGCATAACTGTTGAGGGACCGTCAGAGTCGAAGATAAACTGCAGAGACAACAAAGATGGCAGTTGCAGCGCTGAGTACATCCCCTTTGCTCCAGGGGATTACGATGTTAATATCACATATGGAGGAGATCACATCCCTGGTAAGCTCTCCCTCAGAAAGGACCCTGTAGAATAGTTGATTTTGCATGAAAGCAAGTTTGATTTTGCATATCTCCCTGAATAAGAAAAATAGTCTGACATAACTAGCCTATTGTGGACGCAACAAAGCTATTTTTGCTTTATTGGGAAAGTCTAGAGGATGCGATCAATTTTGAAATGCCTCTTGCAGAAGAGGGTGAGAATTTAACCTCTGTGGCTGACCTGTGAGCTTGAAGCATATGGCCATCTTTGACTATAACAACAGAAAGAGGCCCATTTGCAATTTTCCCATCAAATGTACATGGTGCCTTTTTATGTTTCAGACTCTCTGCCTCCCAGAGCCAAATGCCAGCTCCTCCTGGACCCCAGAATTTTCCCAGGCAGAGTCGTTTAGTGAAATGTTGGTTGGTTGTCTTAGTGTCAGGCTCCATAGCTAAGGCAATTTGCAAGGTGCTGCTGTGAAACATTCAGCAGACTGCTAGCTTCTAATTTGTTGGTTGGTTAAACATTAGCACATTTTTTCCTGGCCTGGTATAAACCCATAGTGGGGTTATTTTTAACAAGGTATCCTGGCTTAGCTGCAGTGACATATTGGTTTCCTCTGATGGTCTATTTGTGATGGCTGCTTAGACCACTGGATCGACTGGATGAGTGCATCAGGAAGATGGTCTGCCCTGACTGATTGATGATGTCTGTACAGAATGTTTGATATCTGCCATCTTGAACTTAAAGTTGTCTTGTTGGTGCTTGGCTGCTCTCATGCTAAATTCAGACAACTTCCAATAGAGACTCAGAATCCCATGACCTCTTTTCCAGGCAGCCCCTTCAGGGTTCCTGTGAAGGATGTCGTGGACCCCAGCAAGGTCAAGATCGCCGGCCCTGGGGTAGGCTCAGGTGTCCGAGCCCGAGTCCTGCAGTCCTTTACGGTGGACAGCAGCAAGGCTGGTCTGGCTCCACTGGAAGTGAGGGTCCTGGGCCCACGCGGTGAGTATGCATCCTGCCTTCCTGCTGACATTCAGCTTGCCCAGGGCGCAGGCAGCTGTGACCCAGAGCAGACACTTTGCTTTTGAGTTTGGCATGAACTTAAAGTTAAATTTCTTTCTTTCCTTCTTTCCTCTTTCTTTCTTTCTTTCTTTCTTTCTTTCTTTCTTTCTTTCTTTCTTTCTTTCTTTCTTTCTTTCTTTCTCTCTCTCTCTCTCTCTCTCTCTCTCTCTCTCTCTCTCTCTCT